TTTCCTTCTAAGTCGATGTTCATCAGCCTGAGAGGTGAGGAACCATCATTTTACATTCAGACGAGCCAGATAAGTAAAACCCTGTATGCACGTCAGGCTCAAGTTTGTTTCACCCAAATTATATTTTATGTGCAGCGGGACCGGACTAATGCTTTGAGAAGTTATGCAAGACATTCAAGCTGGGGTGCAAATATATAATCAGACTGCAATTTGGCAACATTAGCGCAGGAGCGCCGAAACCTGGGGAGGGAGAAGCTGGCGTAGGCACTTTGAGGAAACCCGACCCCCACCCCCATAAAAGAACAACATTAAGTGGGTTATGCGCCCACTGTATAGAAGTCCCTGCTTTCAAAATTTTCGGTGATTTTTTTATTTAATGTTTTTGCCGGTTTGTTTGGGGGGTTTGTTTTGTTTTATGTCCCAAAAAAACTTTAAAAAACAAAAAGGAAAGGAAAGGGGTATGGGGGGGGGTTTGGGGTTAAAAAAGGGGGGCCGGGGTCTCACTTTGTTTTTTTTTAAGGTTTTTTCTTTTTTCCTTTTTTTGTTTAATTTAGATTGGGGCATAATAAAATTTTCCCCATCTCTGGTACCATTTTTTCGGGAATTTTTCCTTTTAAATTTTTTTTTTTATTTTTTTTTTTGGGGGTTGAAAAAAAATGCCCGGGAAGGGTTTTTGGAATGTTCTTGTATTTTTTCCTTCCGGGCAAAGGCGGGCCCATTTTAATTTTTTTCCCCCGGGTCCATCGATATATTTTTTTTGTTGTTTTTCATATTTGGGAATTTTTTTTTTTTCCCCCCCCCGGAACATGATTTCTTTAAATTTTCTTGATCTGGGTTTTCCTCTCCGGGCTAGGTTTTTAAGAAGTAAAAAAAATTTTTCCCTTGGGGGTTTTTTCCCCTCATTTGGGTTGGGGGGTCACCCTTTTTCCCGGTCTTTCGTAGTTTTCTTCTTTTTTCCCTGGTTAAAAAGGGGTGCCCCCTTGGGGGTTTTTCCGGTTTGGTTTTTGGTCTGGGGGGAAAAAAAAAAGGGATAATTGGTGGGGAGGGGGGGAAAATTTCCCCCATCTTTCAAAAAAATCCATTTTCCCAGGTGAAAACCCTTTTTCCCCCCGAAAATGGGCCCCGAAAGGGGGGGCCGGGGGCCGGTGTTCCCCGGTTGGGTGGGGGCAGGGGTTCTTTTTGGCCCCCCCGGTAAAAAAGGGGGGATTTTTTTGACGTGGATTTAAAGGGATTTTTCTAGAAAACCCCCCCCCCCCCCCCTGGTTTTGGGATTTTAAAAGGATTAAAGGGGGGTTTTCCGTGTTGCATTTTTAAAAAAAAGGGAAAAAAGAAAAACCTTAAAAGGAACAAAAAATTTAAATTTTTAGGGCTAAAATTTAATCCCCAAAAAAATTTTTTTTTTGGAGGATTGGTTTTTTGGTGATTTTGAAAAACCTTTAAACGTAAAGGCTTTTTTTGAAATGTAAGGGGGGGTTAGTTAATTTGGGGATTTTGCAGTTTAAAAAAAAAATTTAAATTTTCCTTTAAAATTTGAGTTGTAAAAACTTGGGCTTAGTTTTGGGGGGTTTTGTTCTAATCTTTTTGGTGGGCAAAAAACGAAAACCCGGGTAGGGCGGGGGTTTACAGTTGGCCCCGTGGAAAAATGGGGAAAACTCGGGCAAAATTTGGGTGGGGGTAATTTTTAATCTTTTTGTGAGGTTGGGGGAAGGAAACTTATAGGGTTGGCTTTTAAAAAAGGGCCCAACAAGGGGGGAACGGGGGAAAACTATTTTTAGGGGGGAGATTTTTTGGGTTTTAAAAACCCTTGTGTGGGGGGGAAATTTGAAAAATTTGAAAAAAAAGGAAAATTAAACCAAATGTAAAAGGGGAAAAAAACCCCCCGTTTTAAAGGGGACGGGGTTTTGTCCCTTTAAATTTTTTGGGGTTTTTCTTGGGCATTTTGGAAACCCCCAAACTTAAGGGGGAAAAAGGGAAAGGCCATTTTGGAGGGTTGAACTCCGTTTAAAAAAAGCAAAGGGTAATTTGGTTTTGACAATTCCAACCCCCCCCCAAAGGGGGGACTTAAATTTTAAAATTCAAAAAGGGGAATGCAGGGCGGGGGGGGGAGAGGGGAAAACCCCTTTTTTCGGCCCATTTAAAACTTACAGGGGCCCTTTGTATCCCCATTTTTGGGGGGGGGGCCCCATTTCCAAATTTAAACGGGGAAAAAACCTGTTATCCCCCCTTTGGGGCCCGGGCCCCAAACTTACAGGGGGGGGGAACCCTTGTTTTTAAAGGGGTTTTGAAACAGCCCAAAACTTCCCCAAGGGGGGGAACCCGGGTTTCCCAACCTTTTTCTATGGGCCCAAAAACCGTACAGGGGGCCCGGGGTTTTCCCCCTTTTTTCCGGGTGGTGAAGGATCCCAAAATTACAGAGCCCTTTGGAAATGCCCCTTTGGGGTGGGTAAAGGTCCCATTTCCCAGGGGGAAACGGGGGAAATATCAAGGGGGAACCCCAAAAAAGCGAAGAATTTTTGTGGTTTTTTGGAGGGGCGGAAAATTTTAAGAAAAAAAAAAATTTGGAAAAAAGGGAGAAAGGGGGAAGTTTTACACCAAACTCAAATTTTGGGGGGGCAAGCCCAAAAACAAAAAATTGGGGGAAATTAAGCGAGAAACCCCAGGGGGGGGGGTTTCAGTTGTGGGATCAGTTTTTGGAACCGGGAAGGGTTTTTCCCGCCCCACCCACTTTTTTTTTGGGTTTAGGGGAACACCCCCAAAAAAAAAAAAAAAATAAATTTTCCGTTCCGGATTCCCCCGGGCCGGTTTGGAAAGGGGAAAAAAAAGTGGAAAGGGGTGGGGTGTGGGGGGGGGGGGGGGGGGGGGGGGGGGGGGG